AGCTCACCGACACAGGGATTAAGTATGTTGAAGAGGTCGTATTCAAATGATGCGTGCTGACGCTGTTCCTGGGTCCGCCACCTCCATGGCATACATTTCCAGGTCATGCATCCATTTTCCCTTATCTGTTCATACTTTCTGAGTGGTCAGACAAAGGGAGATCGGACATCACTCAAAACGCTCGAAATCTGAAGAAAAGCAAAGGCAGAGGTGCAAAGCAAAAGTGAAAAGGAAAAGGAAAAGAGATAAAAAATAATAATAATAATAATAATAATAATAATATTAAAAAAAATATATATATTTATTACGGTTCATTTTGTCTGCCAAGAGACAGAGAGAGTTGGTAAAATAAATAAATAAAATAAAATAAAATAAAATAAAATAAATAAAAATAAAGAAAAGATGTACATATAGACACTAAGTGAAATAAAGCTCATTTATTAATGTTTTCGATAAATTACAAATATGTACATATACATAAATAAAAAAAAAATAAACAAACGAGAGAGCCTTCACGAAGTTTGCTCGGGCGGAGCCTCAGCAGTCGGCGGGGCCACAGAAGGAGGAGGTGTCGGAGGTTGGTCATTCAGAGCTTCGCTACGCGGTACGGCCCCAGAAGACGAAGGCAAATGCTGTTGGAACAAACCCACAAACCTCCGATGATCAAGTAAAATCTGACCATCAGATTCCTGCATCTGGTCAATTTTCCTCTTCATGTTTGTGGCATAGTCGTGTGCGAGCCTGTGCAACTGTTTATTCTCATGCTTGAGCCCTCTAATCTCTTGTTTGAGACTCATCACTTCAGCCGCCAACGATTCAACTTGACGGGTTCGAGCAAATAGGCGTTGGGCCATGTTGGACACAGAACCCGCACACTGCACACTAAGGGCCAGAGACTCCTTAACAGCCAACTCATCAGACCGCTTGGAAAGCAGTCTGCTATCTTTAGGAGTGACAAGGTTCCGGGCCACCACCGCAGCGGTCATATCATTCTTCATCACCGAATCCCCAACGGTAAGAGGACCAGTAGGGGATATGAATGATGGGCGCCATATGTTGTCAGGAGAAGGCGGGACTGCCTCTTCACCAAGGTTCAAATCGAAACGACGGTCGGAGGGTCCAAACATTTTCAAAGGTGTTGAAGAAAGAAGAGGTCAGACAGATCAAAATCTTAGAAGTGCAAGAAGGGAGTTTCTGCAAGCGAAAATTCAAGTGTGCTTTGAAACGAACTGCGTGCCTCTATAAAAATCAGCACTCAGCGGGCTTTCAGAGATCGAAGAGGCAAGCTCAGAATTCGAAGAGGCCAATTCAAAAATCGAAGAGGCAAGCTCAGAAATCGGAGAGACATCCTGCTTTTCCAGACGCGTCAGCACCCATCACACGCAAACTCAGCTTTGCGGAAATCACGGGTGATTTGTCGAAGCGCCGATCCCAGATATCGAGGAGACGCCAGTCTTTTCCAGACACATCAGCACCTGTCACATGCACACTCAGCTTGGCGGAAATTACGGACAATTTATCGAAGATTGCTGATAAAGAAGAAAGCACGTGAAGCCATACTGATCAATCACGCATTGGCTAATGACACGAGTGAAAGAACAGTACCTCTACAGGTATTAAGGAACTCCCTATAACTGTCCACCTTCACCCTCCATAGCAAGGCAGACGTACGGAACCTTTCTTCATCTCCGAGAATGCCTTCCCAACGAAGCCTCTCGAGTCACTCAATGTTCCTTATTCCTTGGGGTACCTCTGCAAGCCAATGACTCCAAAGCAAAAGTATCTCATATCACCAGGGTAGAAAGCAAGAGTATCTCATATCATGCGTTCTCCCTGTCCTTTCCTTTGTCCTTGTTCTTACCTACAAAGACAAGGATAAAGAAAACAATATGCCGGAACTTCCACTCAAACTCGGGTAAGGAACCGACTGCTTGGAACCCTTCCCTGATTGCCTACCTAGCACTGCTCTCGAGTACTCGTTTCCCACTGCTGCTGTACTTCCAAAAAAGCTGCCACATCTGCCTAGAGAACAGATAAGGCAAATGAAAATGATACCTTGCAGCATGTGGAGACAAGGTGCAGAAGGAACAAGCAGAGAAGAATGTAGTCTGCACAGTCAACTCAGCAGAAAGAGTCCGAGCTGAAGAACTCGAGAAGCTGCCATATCTGCCTGAAGAAACAAGCGGAGAAGAATGCAACATGCTCAGTCAACTCGGCAGAAAGAGTCTGAGATGAAGAACTCGAGAAGATGCCACATCTGCCTGAGGAACAGATAAAGGAAATGAAGATGATACCTTGAAGCATGTGGAGACAAGTGCAACCAAGCACGTGCTGATTCATCCGCTACTTCTTCAAAAGCAAGAGTATCTCATATCATCAAAGTTGCAATCACTCTGACGGTGAATTCGTTTTGACCCTTAAATTCTTGGGTCGGTTTACTAGGCGTTGTGGGCTGCACGTGCCGATTCACCACCCTTGAATCAAATCCTTAAAAGATCAAGTCACCAACTGGAAGAATAGCCCGTCAATCTTGAAGATCATACCGTTGACCAAACTGCTCAGGTGTGAATTAGAAAGATTGAACAGAGCAATAAGTCGTCACCTTCACCTCGTGCCTGCTTGCCATGTGTTCGAGTTAACCTTCAAGAATCAAGCCTCAACGGCCCTTGAAGAAGCTTCCAGCCAAATTCAAAATCAAGCCTTGACGGCCCTGGAAGAAATCACAAGTCCGATTCAAGATCAAGTGTCTACCACTCTCGAATCAAAACCTAGTTCAAGAATAAGCTGTGGAAAATCAACAATTGGAGGAATCCAGAAAACCCTCCAACCCAGTTCAAGATCAAAGCTGTGGAAAGTCAACAAGCGCAACAAAATACGTGCCGATTCACCCACTACCAAAGCCAAAGATCATCTACCACATGAAACTCCTTGTGGTCCAAATTCAACCTTCAAGATCAAGACGGCCCTTGAAGAAATTTCAAACAAAAATTCAAGATCAAGCCTCAACGGCCCTTGAAGAAATCTCCAGCCCAATTCAAGATCAAGCCTCGACGGCCCTTGGATCGACATCTACAGTAAGGGACTTTAAAACGCATCTCTTACACGTGACAAGCACATGTATACGACGCGCCTTGAAGTGGGGGCATTTGTAGACATCGAAATTTCGGTAAATAAATGTTGACCGATAAATCAAAGTGTCAACGCTCATGTATTACATAAATTTTACAGGTAACGTGTGACTCAACGAAAATTGAAATGAGTTGGAAAAGTCATCAAATAGGACACGTGTCAACACCTGGCAGAAACGACTTATTTCATCTGGGATATTATATTCAAAATTAGGCTTTGGAAAATTCTATAAATACAAGCCCATTTCATTCATTTGGGGGAACCAATTCATATTACACCTTGAAGCTCTGAAGCTCTGAAACTCCGAAGCTCTCAAGCATCCAGGTTCCCGAAGAATCAAGAAAGCCTTCTTCGTTCTTCGTTCATCGCTCTTTCAAGATCAAGCCCCGACGGCCCTTGAAGAAAGCACCATCGTTCATCATCCGTTCATCCAAGATCAAGCCCCAACGGCCCTTTGGATCAACAACCATCCACCTTCAAGATCAAGCCCCGACGGCCCTTGAAGAAAGTGTTCTTCGTTCATCGTTCTTCCAAGATCAAGCCCCAACGGCCCTTGAAGAACTTCCACCAATTCAAGATCAAGCCCCGACGGCCCTTGAGGAAAGCACCATCGTTCATCATCTGTTCATCCAAGATCAAGCCCCAACGACCCTTTGGATCAACAACGTCGACAAATCCACACACATCCAACCGTTCTTCAAGATTAAGCCCAAAAGCCCTTGAAGATCCGTTCATCACTGTTCTTCAAGATCAAGCCCAAAAGCCCTTGAAGATCCGTTCATCACTGTTCTTCAAGATCAAGTCCCAATGGCTCCTTGAAGATCCGCTCAAATCCACCTTCAAAGATCAAGCCCACGGCCCTTTGAAGAAACTTCCAACAATTCATCCAAGATCAAGCATCAACGGCCTTTGGATCAACAAAACATCCACCAATCAACACCTTACGGAGATTGAATCAGAGGATCAAAAGAGAGAGAGATTGTAACCCAAAATCATCAAATACAAATATTTGTTTGTGCGCGTTGTTCTTGTCTCTTTCGTTTCAGGAATTTTCCGTGTTCACAGATCCCTCACGGTATTTTTCGTGTGGATGGTAAGAAAAGTTGTTATAAACCATTTAGAATTAGTCTTATCATTTGTCATTTAGTTTACGGTTTAGTAGTATTTTTCTTTACTTTTTACTTGTGAATGAGAGGTCTTAGGCCTGGTTTGGTACTGAGGTGATTCTGAAAAAAAAAAAGTGGGTATTTTGAGAGCTTTTTTGTGTTTGGTAATCATTCAGCTTCAGTTTTTTTTCACAGTTTTGGGTGAAAAAAAAAAGCCAAAAACACAAAACTGCAAAACCTAGTTTTGAAAAACTGGGTTTTTTTCACCTTTGTTTTACATAAAAGTTTACCAAACATTATAATATTGCTTTTTTTTTTTCAAAAGCATTTTTTTTCAAAATTTGTGACAAAAAAAAATATAGTAGGTAAAAGATGAGTTGCTCAAAAAACAGAGTAATGTTTGATAGATTAACTTTTTAAATTAAGTTTACAAATTATGTGATGTTATCACTAATAAAATAAACATGTGAATCAATAATTATATAATAATCTAATCAACAATCACGTTATATAATTTACAAAAATTCGACTTAAATAATTAGTCTTCCGAGCAGTACTCGTAAAAAAACTGAATCATTCTAATAGATGGATTTGACAAAGAAGGTTCCTTCAAAATGAAAAATCGTTCTCATCTACTTTCAATATGCCTTGGAACTCAGAAAGTGTTCCGTTCCAAATTTATCCTCCATGCTAAACATATAATTAACTTTAATCTTAAGTGCAAAACAGAATTATTTGTTTTAGTTGCATGGCTTATACAAGCACTTGGCGGGAGAGTAAACATTTGATTTCTTGTACATCCAACAAATTGTTCAAAAGGAACCAAGGCACTGCAGGAATATATGTTGCTGGACATAAATAAATGACCCACAGATTACTTATCCTCAAGAACAGTTGGTTTTTGTCATCCGGTTAAAAACCGGGACATTTTCGGATGACCCGAAAATCATAAAACACGGCCAAGCAGGCGCTCAAATTTTAACTTTAAGGCGAAGAAACTAGACGAATGTTATGTCCATCACACCACCATGTGGCTGCAAAAAGACCGTTTTCAGAGCCACTCGACAGAGTATTTTGGCGCCTTGTCATGATACATGACAAGACGCCAAGCGTTATATATCGTTTTCAAGCATACATAGCTTTTGATTTCAGTTATAGATAGTGGTTGTTTGCTTCACCAACAAAAGGATAGGGAGAAAAGCCTATAACCGGTTTTGTGAAGATGACCTCTCAGACCCATGTCTTTGCCGGAAGCTGCTCCCTCTGATCGCTGAGTCTGACCCACCGCCACCTTGGTTAAAAGCAGGCCAACCTTGATCTCGGTCAACCTGATTCATCGAGAATGAAGGCAAGTGATCTCTTTCCCATGGATGAAAACGACTAGGTAACGGACTTTCAGCTTCTTGGTAGTTACGACCTGATGAACCGAACGGGAAAATATAAAAACCACCATTTTGGTCTGATGATGAAGCCACTGGCCCTACTTGAGCCACCCCTCTTTGACTGCTGGATCTTCGGGCTCCGTGAACTATGGGCGTACGCATGGTTGGTGAATTACTAGGCTGTTGCTGTTGATAGTATGCCTGAAGAGCTTGGACTCTGTCGCGGGTCCGTGCATTGCTGCCAGGATAAGGAGGAATCATTGACGATGTCACTGAGCTGCCAGCTCTAGCACTAGAGCTGCAGATAGCAAACACTAATGATTCAATAAACATAACATATCTGTTATCTATAAGCAAGTTATGCAGCTTGTCATCAACCACCGTATCGAGATAGATTTTTTGTACTCTCGTATCATTAAACAAATTCAATGAAAAATACGAGAACCATGGATGATTTTGCTGGTGTGATAACTTTTCTAGAAATTAAAAGTATAAGCAAGGATGGAAAGTATCTAAAAACCACCTTGAAATTTTGTCAAGGCATACCTGTGACCGACAAGGAATGGATGCATAAAAGATCCCGATCTTGCTATTTCTGCGCTTGGCCTAGCAGATCTTTGAGTAACAGATGGAATTGAAGCCTGGTCAGCGCCACCAATATGATTGTTGGTTGTAGAGAATGAAGGCGGGGAATGGTGCTCCCAACTGTGATAATGGAGATCCATGGCAGGAAAAGCATAGGAGTTGGGCATTTCACTCGGTACAGATGTGCCACTCCAATGATGGTTGAAGTTGGAAGCATCTGACACAGTTCCACTGGAGTTTGAGGATGAAGGGTGAATTGGTCCAAAGTAAGCGATATACGGGCAAGGATGGGCAGCAGATGATACAGCTGTATGCTCAGCGAAGATAGCATGCTGTCCAAGTATTTCGTGATCTGCACAACAACATTAATCATATGAATACCACACATTATATTATAATCCTCCACAAAGCCAGAATAGAATATCACAACTTAAATGAAAAGAAGAAAGTCTTACACGAGGTTGGTGAAAACTCCCCTTCCCTGTTAATTGTGAAAAAAAAAAGTTCAACACATAGGAGAAAGTATTAAACTTGAATCGCAAGTAAAATGAAAAACAAAAGTCTGCATGCAATAAAACGTTGATTAGAGGTGATTCTATTTGAAATCCAACATTTGCTTGCAATTCTTCTACTTTATTTTTTCTGGAAAATTTAAACTTCATTTAAAAATTTGAAAGACATAATGATGAAAGGGTAAAATGATGCAACAAATACATTATGAAGTCCAAATAGCAAGCACCCAGTCGAATACCAAATTCTCAATTTTTTTCGGAAACTTATAAACATATAGGAATAGGGAAGAAAAATATAAATAGAGTAACCACACATAACTGTGACCACAGGAGAAGGATAATAAAAGACTATAGATAGAAAATAGTCAGATGATGGTGCTCAGTGCTTTCTTGTAACTTCCCAGGAAAATGCAACTGCGCCCAAAAATGTGCAAAAGATCAATAAAGGTCCACTGGCACTAATACTTTGTCTATATGATTCCACATGATTTACTTAACCCAGCCAGTAGGCAAAATTAGCAGCATCACTGAAGTTAAATTATTAAGAAAAGAACCACTTAGCCACATGCTACTTCTTTCTAACTCTTTATAATCACCTTGGTTTTCATTTTTTGAAAATATCCTCTCCTTGCACATATCAGGAGGGATAATTTATTGTGAAGACCAAACGAATGTTTTTCCATTCAAACTTGCAAATTTAACAAACATAAAGAAGTTGCGATCAAGATACCCCTTTGCAGGGGCCCATTGGAAAACTAACCTCTTTTAAACAAACTAGAAAACTTCACCTGCTTTAAACTTGAAAGGACCAAGCTGTGGTCTATGTGAATCAAGATGTGGGTTGAGATCTTGAATCCCCGTCTCAACCCATATCTCAACTCAAATCTCAATTTTGGCAAGCTATTGACACGGGCCAAAATCACTTTTATTAATAGCCTAAAAGCCTAAGGAAACTGGTTATCTTTTGAACCCAAGACACTAGACGCTAACTACAGCAAACATAATTTAAGCATGAGCTTTAGCAAATGAGATCACTTACTCAAATGACGAAGGAAGTCGTGCTAAGCTACCAAATGGACACCAGTGCACACCAAAGGACTGCAAAAATCATTTATATACAAATAATATATCAAAATGACAAACATTTTTCTAAATTGTAGTCTATAGAGCACATCAGTTTATCAAAGTCGTTATCTATACATACACAGGACATAGAAGTTCAAAGTCAAAATATGTCACTTCGATTTAATACTATCCAACACAGAATAACATGCAGAAGACATTACATTGTCCTTGTAATTATGTGGGAAGCTACTCATGAGACGAAATAAATACCGCAGTACCGAACTTCTTCATTGGTACTACTACTTCACATGAAGGACTCTAGTTAGGTTTTACCTACAATTATTCATCCATTTACTCTTCATAAGGTTCCACTCTTCAATTGAAATGTAATGGGAAGAAAAATAAACAACCAACAAACAATAAGGGCCGCCCTTGGTTCTCTTCCATTCCACTTTGTTCCTTTCCAAATTTGAAGGTAATGGAGAGCCTTATAATTGATATAAACCCTTCAACTGAATCTTTTAATGATAGTTCTACATACTAAAATCTTACGCTAATCTGTTCAAGCTCTTTCTCCTCAATAATTGTCAGCTTACTGGGCTCTACCTATGAACCAATTTTAGAGTGTGCTCCTAAATATCATCAACTTACATTTGACAAAAATCATCCACACCAGCCAACCAATTATGCTTACACTCAAAATAGACATTCATATCCTGAGGCAGAAAGTAGATTACCTGCACCTATAAGCTGAGGTGATGGGTTCACCACTAGCAAGAGAGAAAACTGAGATTTTGCCCACGTGTTAAGAGTAGCAATAAATATCATACATATAAGGAAAATCTAGACGCATGGCTTTTGGCTTGAAGGGAATGCACTCTTTAATAAGGCATGGGTTATCCTAGCCTTTGAAGCAGAACTTCCTTTTGGTGCTATATTGATTCCATTTTGGTAAGTTAACTTTATTTATTGTTTATAACCTTAAAATTTGTCACAAGTTGAACCCACACAGACATATCTAAACAGGAACAAAGGGCCATAACCATAGTGTCGGCATATAGAAAACCATTAACCAGAGTTTGCATTTGACTAAATTGAATATTCACAAAAAAGGAACTGAAAAATAGAAGTTAAAATTCAACAAGTATCTAAACTATATACCATTTCAGAATAACTTAAATCATAGAGATCCTCATCATGTGTCCAGTCTTCCATGTTCAATTCCGGAAGTGAACGGCATCCATTAGAATAAAGCCATTGACCTTTCTCGATTTTCCTACAATTAGGGCATTGCATTGCCCCCTTTACATTGAAGGCTGAACCAATGCAATCTGAAAGAATGAAAACAAAAAAATAAAGGAACATGAAAGCTCTGTATCATCTTTACTGAAAAGGCATAACTAAACTTATGCCCTTATAAGAACCATATAACTATGCCTCAGTAAACATGCAACTCCATTTACTGATATGAGATGATTTAAAATCAAATAACACTATATTCGGAATAATTTACTGACGAAATTTTTTATCAAAGTAATCTGAAGAACGATCTACTGAACCTTGACTAAATTTAGACCTTATAGGGTCTCAATGATGTACAAGTTCGGGTTGTCAACACCACACTTTCGACACTGGGAGTGCAGAAACCTATTATATATAGTTCACTTAATTGATGACTCACAGAGATTCCAAATCTCCAAAAGTGTTCACTTTCAATGCCGTCCACTGGTTTTGAGGAAATAAAATGATTCAAGAAACCCTCATGCACAGCAATTCTTCATTTTCATTGATAGGTTCTATCAAATTTCGCATCTTCCAGTACAAATTATGGTTCTAACCATTGAATCAAACAACTACAACAAAGCGAAATGTACAAATCCAACTACATGAAAGATCTAATCATCATATCTTGCATAAGCAACAGATTATTAATGTAGTTGAAGTGAAACTATATATGTATATATATGTATATATATGTATATGTAAGTCTAAAACAATGACAACCCAACAAAACCAAAGCTTTAATTAAATGAAGCACAATTCAGTTTAAATTTCGTAATTTATTTCTTCAATTTCTTATCTTTCTTCATTGTCTTGACCAATCAAACAACCCATCACCGGAAAATCAAAATCCAACAGAATTGCGAAATCAGAAACCAAATTTGAACCCGGACCTTTGAAATTGCAGTCGGGAAAAATTGAAACTTCCAACCCAAATTAGATTCAATTTTGACTCACCTAGATGAAATTCATGCCCGCATTGCAGCTTGGCCCGAGATCTATCCCCATTATCGGCGACGACTTCAAGGCAAATCGAGCAGGAAACAGAACCTCCGTACGAGTTGCCTCCACAACCACCGCCACCGCCAACACCATCGCTTTCTTCAACCCCAACCTCTTCATCGCTTCCGAGCCCCATAGAAATCCCCAAACCGAGCCCTCAAAGCCCCAAATCCCGAGACGCTGGCGTTTCAACGGTCAATTCCCCTCTCTCTTTCTCTCTGTTTTTTTCTCACATATAAACACCGAGGCGAAGTAAATCCGGCAGAACACAGCGTTTTGGTATGGCGAATCACGACGAGACCAAGACGACGTCGTTAGGATCGAAGCAGAGACGGAGGAAGACGGTCAGTCGTCGGAGACGGTGTTCTGGGAAGAGAAAAAGTTTTGATTTTAGACGGACAATCGAGAAATGAAAATTTTGCTGTCGCTCAGCTCTCTATCTACGTGTCGTGCGTCACGGGCCGTTGGATTAGGGAGATGTTGGACTTCGCGAGTTAACCGCTGTCCAAATAAAACCAAATCAACGGCTCATATTCACTCTGGAGATCTTCTGCGGTTCGATTGTTGTTTTGTCTCAATTTCTTTTTTGTTTTTGTTTTTCATTTTTATTTTTTATGTTTTGGTGTTAGATAAGATTTTGTTTCTACTTTATCGGTTAGAAGGTTTGGTAATTGTGGACAAAAAAAAGGGTTGGTAAACTGTGTATTGAGCCATCATAACAGTCCAATTCATTTAAAATTTTATCATGTTCCGATGTACAGAATGCATTAAAACAAAACGACCAAGATTAAAAAACTCAACAAACTAATCTCCGTTAAATACCATGTTTGGATTCTTTTTTTTTTGTATTTTAATGTTATAGTTTTCTTGAGCTTTAAGTTAGGAAAGATGTTGTTGCTATTTAGAAGTACGAGTGGAGATTCTCTCCAAATTTCTGTATTTGGAGTTCAAAGACTTGGAGGTTTGGGTCATTAAAGAGAGAAAAAGAGATTTGGACCTTTGATTTGACTGAGGTAAGCAAGCAGAATAGACTAATAAGGACAACATGATTTAAAATGAATGATTCAGATTTACGAATTCATCCAATCTCGACACAAAGATTTGGAGAGGATCGAGAAGTACAACTCAATTTTTTTCTTCCATGCTCTTTACAACTCATTCACAATCAATGCATTGCCTAAAATGTGCATTTTTTTTTCTTGTTGAAAAAACTTCCGTGTGAGTTTGTGCAGATGGTGTGCACCATGTTTGACGATGTATTATTTTTGGTATGTTAGGATTTGATGACAAATTGTATAAATTGCACACGTATGCATAATATTTGATGCTATTATGTCACCCTTATGACTCTATAAATTGCACATGCATAATGTGTTTATACTAACGGCTTTTGACTCATTATAAATCTACTAAAAAGTTTATAGTTTATGAATCTCACGTCGAAAAATTGATATACAACATATAAGGAATGATTGTATTTGAATACCATTAAGGCTTTTTTATGATGAAATTCTTGCACGTTCTGTAATGTGCATGTAATATAAGACGCAAGTTGATAGATATTATTTGTATGATTAGTAGTGAGTCATTGAATTGTCTTTCTAAAATTTTGACGAAATCTAATACTTGTATTTGGTTGCATAATATACATATTTTTTTAATTATCTTAAAGTGCATAAGGGTTTGCTTTTCCATTTGTAAACTTTTTAAAGGTTAGATGATGATCTTTCATGTTATAACTGAGTTGATAACAAATTAAAATTATTTTTAAACAAACGATATTATTTATATTAAAGGGTGAGTGGTGGGCTAAGCCTGCACAAGTGGTAGCAATAATGTGATTCAAATTCATCTTTGGCGAGAATTGAATTTAAGACATCTCACTTACAAGTTAAGAAGAATACCATTAAATTGTAGTACTAAGTGGCTAGTTGATAAGAAATTAATAAAATTCTCAATGAATTTTGCAATAAAAAGAAAAACAATGGACACCTTGAAATTAAATTGGTGATGCCTAGAAAATGTGTAGATCCAAGTAAGAATTTGGTTAAACCACCATGAGGTGTTGTTAGGGACGAATTTCAGGTTCGTATTTCAAATGATATATTTTGGATTTGATTTTTGGCACTTGTTAATCACACGAAGATAGCCAATATACTTATATGAGTCTTTTCGACCTCAAAAATAAACATAGCGAAAGCATCATCTAATCTAATCCTCATTTTAAAAGAAAAAAAAAGTAAGATTTAGGTTAAAAGTTGGTACTTATGCTTCACCTTAAACCTTTTCCATGGTTAATGAAATAATAAACAATTGAGGTAGTTGGCAGATACAGTTAGCTAACTCAACTTATTCAAGACTTTCTGTCATTATATTAGTCTTTTATATAATATAATTATCTCCTAAACTTAACTTAATGTTGTCATTGTGTTTGGATTTTGATCTCTCCGTGACAACTGGTCAGGATCCTCCTGATCAGTGTCAGTGGATCGTTGGATTTTTATCCAACGGTTATAATTATTATAATTTTAAAAAAATCATTTTATTTATAATCGTTGGATTTTATCCGACGATCCACTAACACTGATCAGAAGATCCTGACCAGTTGCCTCATAGAGGATCCAAATCCATTGTGTTGCTTGCAAGCATCGATAAACCCTGCAATTGCCAAGTGGATGATTTGTCATGGCACGCGTTTTGACCTAAATTGCTCATAAAACAACACGCGTTGTTCATCATGCCAGGACATTGGAAACCCTAATTACAAATCATAATTCTGCTGTTGCCTCTGCACTAACATATATTATATTCTCATCAGTCCTATCATTGCAAACCCAACTGTTCTTGTTCTTATCTGTCTCCATCAACTTGTCAAAATATGTGCCACCTCAACCAAATTGTCATCTCTGAAAAAAAATAGTAAAGTTACAGATGATTTAGTCAGCAAACTATACCTTCGACCAAAATTGTCCGAATCTGTGAAAATATTACCAACCTTTTATTTGATTCAATTGATTGATTCAATCATTTTAATTTTTATTGCTTTGTGCTGAGATAATTTTAACATAATGATTTATAATATGATCAGTTATATAAATAAGCTATGAAGTGTTTGGAAGCCAAAATTGTCCGAATGTGTGAAAATATTACCAACCTTTTATTTGATTCAATTGATTGATTCAATCATTTTAATTTTTATTGCTTTGTGCTGAGATAATTTTAACATAATGATTTATAATATGATCAGTTTTATAAATAAGCTATGAAATGTTTTGAAGAGGAAATACGCCTAATTCTTGAGAAGCCAAGCATTATTCTGTTTTTGTGCACCTACAAGAAATTCAGTGTTGGTCTTTAACTAAAAACAGTCTTTAGTCGCTTAGTTTAAGTCACTAAAATAAATACGTGTCGGCATGAGTACTTTTTTGTGAATCTCATCCTGCTCTATCTAACTTGTAGTGTCTAAATCTTCACATATAATAATGTATAAACTTAACTGTTGTTTTTTGTTTTAATTTATTTAATCTGATGATCAAAATAAAAAAAAAAAGAAAAAAAAAGAACTCTAAGAAAAACTTCCCTTAAACTAGTCTTACCATCCTAACCAAAATACTGAAAGTGAAACTGAAGTTACCATATTGGGGACTCTGCAGCCCCATGATCTGTGGCTCAAGATGAGGACCACCACTTGTCATATCATGGAACCCCAGTACTGTCCTCCATGCCCATGCTCCAGTGAACGGCTGTGATCAATCTACAAGAGCACACGAGGGGCCCAGATAAGGACGTCATCTGATCCAATGCAACAGTATTATGAACATTGCCCTGACACTGAGAATCTTGGGACCCTTCTCGATGTCAGTCAATTTGAATCCTGATCGTACCAAGTTTACCATCTCCAGTCAAGGTTTAAAGTCACATTTGGTCTTAAAATTTACCAAGAACTTGTTTGAATGTGTTTTTAAAATAACTGAAGGTATTTTTAATAAAAATATTTTTAAAACCAATGATTAGTAAAGATACAAGTAAATCCTATAAAAAAAAACTCTGAAAGAAGCACATAACTGATACTTCTTCCAGAATGTACTTTAAGTGCTTTTGAAATCTAAAAATATTTTCTTTAAAAACACTTTTAATTTTAATTATTTTAAAAGCATATCCAAATGATTCGTAAATTAATCTTCCATCAACACCATCTTCAGTTAAGGGCTATATGCCATATTTGTCTTAAAAATGACAAAATCCACCACCAATAGAAGGGCTAAAAGGACTCGGACTAAAATAATCAGACTTAGTTTGGCCCCAGATCAATGCCATGTACATACCCAACTCTTTGAATCATCATTTGGGAGGGAATTGGATCCTCTCCTGAACAGGAGATCAGGATCCTCATGATCCACTAACATAGACCGTTGAATTTTAATCCAACGACTATTATTATTATAACTTTTAGAGAGACTCTCTGTTTATAGCCGTTAAATCAAAATCCAACATCCCGTGTTATTAGGTCAGAAGGATCCTGATCTCCTGCTCCTGCTCAAGAGAGATCCAATTCCATTTGGGAGGGACTTAATTTTCTCTGTGAGTAGGTTATGAGAGATAACAAAGAGCAAAGGATTCGTTCCAAACCTTAAGGCTCCTATGCCAATCCCTTCTTCCATAGGAGTTGCCTGGAAATGGTATATCACGAAATAACTCCTCAAAGCATATCAAATGAAAGGGCGACATCGTTCGTCCCTTCACCGTTTCCTTGTAGATCAAATGAAGGGGCGTCATCGTCAGTTGTTCTTGCTGTTACTGCATCGTCATCGCGATACAGGTGACGGAAAGGAAGACGAGGCTCGGGAAAGAAGCTTGAAACCGGGGGAGGGAGAGAGTCGAGAAAAAGGATGTAATATCTTTTCACTAAATTTCAAGTATTCACTGCTGAACGCCTTGGTGCAGCGGCCTATCCGTTACTTGATACAGAAAGGGAAAAACAAATGCAGAAATACGACGACTCAAAATACAAATTATACAAGTCTGTCGAAGAAAAAATGAGAAACAAATCACAGATGGTCGAATTTCCGACCGAAAACTTGCCGTGATTCAATCTAGGCATAATAATTGAGGCTGGCTTTTTTCTTTGCCTGAACTTGGATAATGCCCTCGTTAAAGTCCTCGTGGTTCACCTGGAGTAGAATCAAAACAAATACTCAAAGATTAGTACACTTCCTAAAGCATTTCTAAGCATACACACAAAGTTTAATAGAGAGAGAAACATACGGGCTAAACCTCATAATGGGCTAGCAATAATGTGAAATTAAAGGGACAGAAACAAACGGAGTGCAAAAGGAGAAAACAGGAGTGAAAACCCTTTTTCAGTATGAACAGTTTAATAGAGAGAGAGAAGCACCTCTGTGGCATCACGACGAAGGGCAAGCATGCCTGCCTCCACACATACAGCTTTTAGCTGTGCTCCGTTGAAGTCATCGGTTGAGCGAGCTAATTCTTCGAAATTGACATCCGGATGAACATTCATCTTTCTTGAGTGAATCTACAAAATTAAGAAAAAAAAATATTAACAGACTGGAATGTTGTAGTGCAAAAGTAATCACAAAACCCATGCAATTGTAAGAGACAAACCTGCAAAATTCGAGCTCTTGCTTCTTCAGTGGGATGTGGAAACTCAATTTTTCGATCCAACCTACCAGAACGCATAAGAGCAGGGTCGAGGATGTCAGCTCGATTGGTTGCTGCTATCACCTGCATTTAAGACAATAAAGTTGGTTATGTCAGCACGATTGGTTGTTACTATCACCTGCATTTAAGATTCCAACCAAGTACTGGAACTGGATCATCTATGATGTATTTCCAAATCCATCATAGTTGCAGGAAAAGCAAATAGACTTGTAGACAAGGAAACAAACCTTAATTCGATCATCGCTACTAAAGCCATCAAGCTGATTAAGCAACTCAAGCATTGTACGCTGCACCTCCCTATCTCCACTCACTTCACTGTAACCATAAATGAGAGGATATATTTCAATCAAGAAAGAATGCAACGATCAAATTGGATATCCATTATGAAATTGAATTCAAGAAGTACAGCATACCTATCAAACCGCTTTGTGCCGATTGCATCAATTTCATCTATGAAAATGATGCAGGGGGATTTCTCTTTTGCGAGCTGAAAGGCATCACGAACAAGTTTTGCTCCATCCCCAATGAACATCTACATCCATTCAAGTACAATTACTTTATTAAGGACGCAGTTATAAATCTGAAGTTACAATCGTTGAGCATATTTATACAGAGAGCTTGTTAATACAGAGACTATTTACTCTACCAAAAAAGATCAGTTCCTCCTAATCAGAAACAGGTGGAACAACTAATTTAAATCAATGAACCCCAAAGTTTACAAACAAATTTATTATGCACTAGTATGTCAAAATTAAAAGAGTAAGTTAGAGCGATTCTCAAAACCATTAAAAAAACACCTACTCATGCTCAACATGTACATACATTCTCAATTGAATGAAAAAAAAAATGGTACCAGTAATAATCAAATCGAATTATACCGTACCTGAACCAGTTGTGGACCAGCTAGTTTCAGAAAAGTGGCATTTGTCTGCGCAGCACAAGCCCGGGCCATCAAAGTTTTACCAGTTCCCGGAGGTCCATACAGTAGCACTCCCTTTGGTGGACGAACCCCCAATTTCTGAAAACGCTCCTTGTGGGTCATGGGCAAAACAATCGCCTCAACTAGTTCTTGAATCTGTTGCATTAGAAACAAATTAGGGTACAAAATCCAAATGTTTGGTATCTAAGAACCATGAATGCCTCAAAAAAGAGCATGTCCAAAGTATGAAACTTGCCTGCTTCTCCAGCCCTCCAATGTCATTGTAGTCTTCAGTTGGCTTTTCATCAACCTCCATAGCCTTCACCCGAGAATCATACTCAGACGGTAGAGTATCCAAGATCAGGTAACTATCTTTGTTCACACCAACAAGATCCCCAGGTTTCAAGTTATCAGGATCAACAAGCCCAACAACTGGCAGAAAGATTGTCTGCAGTAAAGCAAAACCCCATAATTTGGCTTTTGAATAATGCATCAAATATTATTTTCACACTAGTCTCTTTTAGCCGTAGACACATATATCACAAAATTAAAATTCGTGAATATAAAAGAAAAGCAATGATGCAGATAACTGCAGTCATTTGCTTTGCTGGTGATATAAGAGAATAAGTGCATAGCATTAGTTGCTGGCTTACCTGGCGAGTAGATGTCTTTAACACAACACATTTTCCCTTTCTTTGGGAGTCAAGATCAATATTTGCACCATCCTCCTCGGCCTCATCTTCTGGGTTCATTTCAAGAATCTGAAAGAGAAAATAGAAAAATACAATAAGAACGTAAGGCTAACAGAACAACTAAGTCCACACACCATCCAAGACTAAAGTTCTCAACATCGTCTATCAACATTAATAAAACATAACGACTGACTAACCACTAACAATCTAAATCACATCTTCGTAGACTCATCATATTACTAAAATTAGAAAATAAGGGTTCCCCATAAATAGGTGTGTTGTTTAAATGGCAAGCATAAGGAGCCAAGTCCTCCAATTCAATGCACTTTAGTAACAGTCATCATTACTACTTCTGTTTCCGAGATATTAAGGCAGGGTCACTCCCTTATCAAACTTGCTTGCACCGCAAACTCTGAACTCAAACAAGGCAAAACCCAAACTATAACACAAGATCTTATGCCAATTTCGGTTCTCATATTCAGCGAATTCTATTTTTCATTAAAGAGAGTTACTTTACTGACCTCAACTTCACTCTAACAATACGAAATCAATACTTTTCTCCAAAATTTTGTTTATGCAACGGACATTTCGAACAAAAACAATTAAGAATACATGAAAACACACATACCTCAACAATGTTGCCCACCAAGTAAGGCAACTGCTTATTGAGCTTAATCTTTTCCTGATTCTCCTTAATCTTGTCCTTGTACGAGTCCAGCTCCAAATTCGTTCTTGACATTTCTTCCTTCAATCCCACAAACAAAAATCAGAAAAAACACAAACATTCACATATTAAAATCCCAAATCCCCAAAATTCCGAAAAACCCACACACGAGCAAAGGCATCAAGTAACGTACAGAACTAAAAATTCAAAATTTCCCAAGCAAATCAATCCGAACCTCAAATAACAAATAAACCCTAAAATCAAAATCAAGTCTTTCATCCCAATTGTGCACCGATTAGTAGTACGCAACCATAAACAGTGTGCGAGAGAGAAAAAGAAGGGACCTTGAGTATTCGGATCTTGTTGTCAAGAAGACGAGTGGCTCTGACGATGTCTTCGATGGTCATCGCGGCGAGCTGATCATCTTCAAAGGTCGTGTCTTCTACCATGACGTTCGCCATCGGATTCCGTTTAGTCCTACTTTTTCTTCTCAGAAATCAAGAGTTTTCAGCTGCAGGAATGTTGGTGGGACGAAGAATGCTTCTCTGCTTGTTCTTAAAGAAAGGTTCTTGAGAAAAAGAAAGAAAGGTTTTTGTTTATGTAATGTTGGGCCTCAAAAGCTGTTGGGCCCGGCCCAAAACAACAAGAGATTGATGAAGCAATGGAATCGAAGTCGGAACGAAGATGCTTTTTTTTTTAATATTTTTTTTTAAGTACATCGATATTTTCACATTAAGAAAAGAGGAAGTTCGGCTAAGTCATACAATGGGTAACCTAATTTGGGATCGAATTCCCCATTCAATTCCATTAATAAATTCTAATCTCAATCCGGATAAAAAACAAGACAATTAATGCAATTATGCGTTAGGTCAGCAAACTAAAATACTCATATAGCTTTGAAGAGTTGATCCCCCCTGGTGGGGGAAGACACCAACCGGTGGGAACATATTTCAATCGACATACTTATTTAGAGCATCTTTAATGGTGTAGGAAAAAAAAATAGGCAAAATTATACTATAATGGTTGACGTGACAAGTTGTCTACTCAATTGTCTCATATAAAAAGTATGTCACACCGATGAAATACAAAAACCAAGTAGGCAAATTTTCATCTTTAACATTTACTTTTATCCTTAATTTTTGTCTTCTTCCTCCACATGGAATATTTTACTATAAATAGAGACGTGTGACCCCATTTGCCTATAATGTCGAAAGCAGACAATATTGCCTACTTTGTAGGTATAGGCAAACTTCGTCTGCTGAATTAACTACACCATTGGAGCATGTTTTTGCTTACATAATTCATCACAATGGGTTCGACTACCTATTTGCCTACTTCATTGGAGATGCTTTAGGTAGCTTACGCTCCATCACCGATCAATAACTCTAATGCCACTTGATGTTCAATTTTGTTGGTTTTTTCTTTAAACTAGAGATGTACGGGATAAGGAAATCATAATCGAACTTGAGACCTCGAGTGCAAGGAAAAATTAAGGATAACGTTAAAAAGACGAAAACTTTGAGGGGTGGTAATAAAAACGTTAAAAAGAAAATAGTTGTTTGCTTGTAATTTCATCTGTATTCACAGAAAATCCGTTTCAGATAGTGCAAATTAATGTTATTTCTGTTAGAGAAGGACAACGAGTTCTAATATTTTCAGCAGTTTCACATCAGCGCATCAAAACGATGACTTTATACTTTTTTCGTTAATACAAGTGAACCCGAAGGGAACCAATGTGACTACGCTCGCGTCAACTTCACCTTCATGGATCAGTATTTGGGTGGAAATATACGAGAATGTGGGGAAATCACAGCCTCCTGAATGTACTTCTTGGGATTGTTAGGGTCAGGAACCCAACGAATCTCACTCAAATTTGGGGTCTCAACGTACGCCATCATAAATTCCCCAACCTTCTCAATTTTGCCTCTCTTGCCTGCCCTGAGCAAAAGGTTGTTCCTGCAGTAAGAGAAGATGCCATTGCTCAACTCCACGATGTCACCGGACTCAAAGGCGTCGCACTCGTTCCCCCACAGCTGGAAGTGAACCGCCGCAGTCTCGTCTGCCACTAGCGCCAAGCACGTCTTGTTTTGGGCTTGTGATAAAGTAGTAGTTGTAGTCTTGACGATGCCTTTGTCCAAAAGTATGAACCTTGTGTTTATGTTGTTCTGTGCTGCTGGCACTATGTCTTTCAGTGGCACCATCTGTCAAACAACGCTCAAAGCTTTTGAATCTTCAACGCATCAACTTCTGCCTCGTTTCAAAGAGCAGTTCCGATGGCTATGGTGATGGCGACGAGCTCTAGTTCACACTGCAATACCGATAGATACAGTTGTTTTAAGTACTTAAACTGACAAAAGGAAAACTAAAAACCATTGAACACAAAACAAACAGAATACAAAGAAAGAGAGGAAAATTCTGGTCAGCAGGGAACCCTATCTCTATTGTATCATCAGATAGACACAAATTCTGGTCAGCAGGGAACCCTATCTCTATTGTATCATCAGATAGACACGCTTCTACGAAAGGAAAATTCATCGAAAACCTTGCCAAGTCTATAGACGAGACTGTTAAAGTGCTTCGGAAAAATTGCCTCATGGAGCACATCAACATATGATTTGGCTAATTTGCATCATCCCAGAGAAACAAATCACGCATACACAAAAAGACATAAATTCAAACCAGTACATGCACACAAAGATAGGGAAAGTCAAAACTGGATCAAACATAAAGGACAATTCAAAGAAGATGCTGAAGGAAACATTTTATCAACGAAGAATATGGTCAAGAACGAAACTATGAGGGGTAACAAATACCTCATCAGGGACAGAAAACGACTTGAATGTACTCCTACGAATGTAACTCCAGCATTCTCTGAAAACTATCTCCACCCAACATTATCATCTACCCTTACGTACAACCAATAATTGTAAAAGACCGGAAAACCTTGATCTCCAGCACAAATAAGACTACCAATCCGCCAACTAAACCGTAATCCCCTGTGGTTTTTGCTTCCTAATGAAAACCTCGCTGTTAAACTGAATGCTAGTTAATTGCTACATATAAATTTGTATATGTGTGTATATATATAAATATGTTACATTCTCAGATCTGATGAATCTTGTTCTGAAATCTATATGATGTCTAACACTAACCTCAGCTAAACCAATCAGTCATCAAGTATATTCCTTTATCTTTTCCTAATTTGATTGTATATTGTATTTATCTGCAGTGCTCCAAAACAATGAAATGCACCTGATTTCTCTTTTCCCCCTACATTTTCTCAGCAACCAAACAGAAATTGAGAGAAAGATCTTGACTTTACTAATCACATGATGGCCCTGCATTAGTTTAAGCAGAGAAAATGGAAGCTGCAATCAAACCAACAAAACAGCTATAACAGTTTCAGCACAAATACAAGACGAAAGTTTCAAAATTTGAGTGAGAATATAGAGAATCAAATACAAAACCGTATCCCTAAAATCAGAGCAAATACTCGCATACCAATTTCTAAGCCATAAAGTGAGAAAGGCTAGCAAATGCAAACTGCCATGCAACCCAATCGTCATCCACCACCATTCATCAGGGAGAATAATCATAGGGGAAGTTTATGAACAAGAAAAGCATTGCGGCGAGAAAATGTTTTCAAATGCTCACTAACAACTAATAAGTGATGATTTTTATAGAGTGCTGGTTTGCGCCAAGAGAATAATTTATATGTAACGGATTCACGGAATGACATTTTGTTTCAATAAAATAATCAGATGTATAAGTTTTTTCTAACACATATCATTGTTCTAATATATTGAGACACCATGTGATGGTAAACTCATTTTTATGTAAGTTGTTCTCCTAAAAGAGAGAAGAAAAACTTCTTATAAATTATGTGATACTGCTCAATGCGTGTAGGTATAACTCGATAATTACTTGATGAGAAAAACTTGAGTAATGACATCGGATTATATAATTCATAGGGCACCTCTCACAACCATAAACTCTTGCATTATGGTCCCACTGACCCATGCTGGTGTCATTTTGTGTGAAAGCTTCCATGTGAAATTTTTATCCTTCTCGAGCAGTAGACTATGAACTCATTTGAAAGTGATTTTAAAATGATTGGAAGTGTTTTTAAAATAACTGAAAGCGATTTGGTAAAATTGATTTTTGGTCCCAAAAACATTTTAAGTGCTCATATATGTGATATGATCCTTCTTATAGGCAGCACTTAAAACGTTTTTTAGAATCCACTTGAATTTTTACAAATGATTCATTTCAAAATTTTTTTTAATAAAATGAGCCCCATATTGTCATTCCATGTGAGAGCCTAGACAACATAAACTTGAATACAGCTTATGTTAGATTTCGTGATGTGATTTGTGCAGCTTTTTATCATTTTAGTTTTTCCTTTTCAGGCTGTTGCTCTAATAGTCTTATCGAGACTTTTATACACATCTTTGATGTACTGTTGAAACGAACATCTTCGATTTGATAAAAAGAAGGAAGGGCACAAATTAAGCCACGCTTCATAACACATACAAATACAAACTCCGCAACGTCGTCCACAGTGACAAGTTCATAACACAATGAGAAACAGCCACAACCCTTTTACTATACACAACATAAACAGCGATTATATTACAGTGTACCAAAACTGAGGGAGAGAAGCTCCAATGGCGGAGACACGACTCAGTATGGAGACGAGCAAAAGGGAAGAACCACAGAAAGTCGACCCCAAGTACAAGCGACATACTCATGCTATGGGTCACATGGGAAGAAACTCATTCTCGGCTGAACACCTTCGGTTGAATGGGTGAATTCACTTTCCGATCCCAAGTTCTTTTGTAATGTCTCTTGTCAAGCTAAACTGCAAGGTGTTCTGCCATGGAAATAGGGTGCGAGTAACTGGAAGCTTTCTTCGAAGATCCTGTATCACATTCATTAAGTTTTGAAGGTTAGTACTGGAATCAAGAATAATAATAATTCAACAAAGTGAAAAACTGGATTGGGTTCGGGTTAAGCACAGTAAAGAAACAATTTTCTTCTGCAAATGTGTTTCATGTTTATATTGAACATGTTCGAATATGTTGAACTGTACAAATATACAAAAGTTCAATTCTCGATGGAAGTCAATAGTACCTTAAAAGTGGTATCGGGCAAATTTGAATAAGATGCCTGCAGAAGTAAATTTGTTAGTGAAGAGCTCAGAAAGTGAAAAACATCAGCTATTAACTAGAGAAATTGATGTATTTTGAACCTCAAGAGATGTTAAGTACTCTGTCTCATGTTGACGAATAATGTTGCTAATGGCAATCGCACTATCTTCAGAGGACTGCAACAAATATGAATCATAGGCAATGTTAAGATACAAAAAACAAAAAAGTTCATACAGCCACAGGAAATGTTTTATCGATAATGTATCATTAACATGACACGGGATCTCGTAAGATTCAACTATAGCTTTTCTGTTTCTAAACACAAAAAGTGTCAGATGACTAAGAATATCACACCGAAAAGTTAGCTAATCCATACATAAACTTTTTACTATTTACCAACTTTAGCTATACCTACTAGAAAAAAAGAGTCATATATAGTGCCTATGTTCACATGTTATGATTAATACCCTCGTTTTAAAAGTTTATGTAGAAAGTTATACTAAAACCAATATATTAAGGCCTCGTTTGATAGAAAAGATTGGCTTAGATAAGACTACTCACTATATTAAAGGTATTTTAAAGAAAGAAATGAATGACAAATTCCTTATTTTGTCCAAGTTGAAGGTTACTCATGAAGAATAGTCGTCCCTTTTAATCCTACCATTTTTGTGAGCATTAGTAGGGGAATCTTTTCTTCATGAGTAACCTTCAACTTGGACATACTAAGGAATTTGTCATCCATTTGTTCCTTTAAAATGCCTTCAATATAGTGAAAAGTCCTACCCCAGCCAATCCTCTCTATCAAACGCGGCCTAAGGGTCTAAATAAGAGAAGGTACAATGATCTTGCATGATAGATCATCCTATGCAATACCAAAATAACAATGATAATAAATGGAGATAGTCCTATCGTAACATTAACCTGAAAAATTGTTGTATCTTTGCATTCATGCTTGGCATCTAACTGCACATTGCCCTCCTCGAAATAGTGGGCACCCACCTGAAAGACGGTGAAGAACAGGAGGACATGGATGAGAAACAGTTAGTTCTTGATTAGGTTCTTATATTATGAACTCAATGCTCCATACTGAACGCAGAGAACATAAGAAATACCTGCAGTTTGCCTTTTAATTCCAGCATTTGTATTTCATCTTTGAACTCAATGCTCCATACTGAACGCCAACTACCGTTGCTATGCAACATGAAAAATTAACTTATATCACAAGATGCCCACATAAAAAGAGGCAAGAAAAAGAAAATCAACTTTTTCTTCTTTTATGCAACTAAGAAAGGACCTGGTATAATAACAGGACAGGTTTTTGGATAGTATATACACTATATATACATCTGTTCCAACTGAAATACAATGCTCAGGAGCAATAAACAAGCTCGTGGGTAGGGCACAAAACTAACTTCACATACCAGAAATTTTGTGGGCTATGTCTAGCAGCTGAAATCACCACTACAAGCTCAAAGTCAAATCCTGGGCCCTCCACATCTTTACCATTACCACAGTACACTGAGCAGACTCCTTTTGGATAAGCTTCACCAACATATTTAAGTATTTCTGCATCCATAGCACACCTGAAAGGAAAGAATATTGACTTATACACAAGCCCGCCAAACTCCCACAGACACAAACACACAAATGTATGCATTGCACATATATAAAACAACTGTAATTCTACTTGTGTGGTGCTTCCGCAAGCTGCCAATGATTTTCTGTCTTGTATAGTTCCTAAACGAGCATCCTCAAAAGATAACTAGATGAGAAGTGACACATTTGTTTCATCGTTCTCTCTCGGCCATTATGGAAAGGGCATTCTTAAATATCAACATTCTGTAGTAAAGTAAATACTGGTTTGTTACTTTAAAATTAACAGATAAAGTAAATCCTACAGGGCTGAATAGTTTACTCAAGAGAAGCTAATGTGAAACTTTTCCCGTGCGACACTTAAAACCCCTAATATTAAGCCAAATATCTTGGAGCAAGCAAATGCTCATTTCAGTAGGAGTGAAAAAACGTATGCAAAGTTTCGTGGCAAATAAGGCATACCGAAATTCCTCAACATATGCAGATGGCAGTTCCTCATCCAGTGCAGGTCTCACCTCTGTACAAACCTGAACCAATTTTAGCACATTTTAATGAAATAATTGGTAACAATTTAAATGAAAATGCTAATAAAGGGTAACAATCAAGGAAAGTAACAGGCACGTCATTTCATACATGCATGGACAAGTCCAGATGGTGAATGACTGAGAAAAATAGGATACATGAAAAGAATGCACTCATGTGCTTGCCCATCAATTGTCTCAAAATATTGTAATGGAACAAATGCATGGATGCTTGATTTCTATCATCAGCGTGTTCCCTGTAAAGAAGATCAGCCTATTCCCTTTTCAAGGTTCATGCTTTGCTAATACTTAATTACCATTATCCTAGAAAGGGTCTTGTAGCTCAGTTGGTCAAGGGCGTTCACCCTCGCACCTGAGTCTCCCCAGTTCAATTCGACCCTCCCCTAATATCGCTCGTATCAACAATTACCAATCTTCTAAAAATAAAATAAAAGAAACTCTCTTCTTCACCACCATTTTCGGTATCATCGGATTCATATAGCAGAAGAAAAATAAAGCACTTGCCTGTTTGATGTGGTCAACTACAGCAACTTGAGCCGTTCTGGGATCAATGAACTCGTTCTTAGCGAGCTCACCATATGATGTAACTATAACCTGCTCACACAAACAGAAGCAAAACCCCATACATTGTCAGATTCCAGAACAAAAAGTACATCAAGAAGCAATGAAAGTTTGCAAATTTCACAATTGGGAACCCGAGAAATTCATCGAAATGCCGATATTTCGTCAGAAAAAGAAAACTTACGTCTCCGATTCGGCCCGGCATTTCGATGGAAATCAAGTGGGATTTGTTGTACAGTGGGAACGCCTCCGACGCAGCCTCCTCGTACAAAACGTCGTCGTTGATGACCGCCTTCACATCTGCCAACACAGAAGATAAAATCAAATACAGAATGTGATACGCGCGATCGATCAAAATTTGAAATTTTACGAAACTCAATAGAAATTAGAGAAAAATGTGAAGTTTTTGGGGGTGAAAGGTGAGACCTTTGGCGACGAATTGGATTTCGCCGGGAGGAGAGTTGAGGAGGAACCACTTTGCTATCTCCTTCTTCTGCTTCTCGCTTAGCTCTGCTTCTTCTTCGTCCGCCATTTTTCTGTTTTCAGTCTCTCTCTCCTTTCTCCTCTCTCTCTCTCTCCTCTGAGATTTGAATGGGAAATGAACTGGTATACAGGGGGAGAGGGAAACGTGATTTCAGCGAAGCACGAAGAACTGGATGGATCTTAGCCGTTCGTTTTAACGGGCCCTACATAAATTGACAGTCAAGATTTGATAGAACCGGAACGCATCGTAGAGGATAGCGTTTGAGGTGTGCTCTGTAAAGGTTCGCTTGTGGGGCTTTGGGAGGTGTGAGGCGGTGACTCTGAGTCCGAAACGACTTTGAGTGGTGGGGATGGGTTTGTAACCACCAAAACTTGGTGGGGTTAATGATTCATATGATCTGGTCCGTCCGATCATTACACCTTATCAAGATAAATGACCAACAAAGCAATGTTAATTTTTCTTTAACTTTTACACGTGAAAATCAACCAATTTCGTTTTTTTTTTTGGCATATGATGCATTATTAGTCTGAGACGCAAATCCATGTATAAGTCTTGGATTATGAGATTTAGTTTCGTATCTTGTTCGACCATCCATTAAAATTTTCACTTTGTCATAATTTACTTTATATTGAAAACTTTCACGGATCATATCGAGTTATGATCTTAGTATCGATAATCTCAACAATACGGATGACATGTCAATAATTGATATTGAGTGATTAAACATATCTCATGGTCCAAAAGTCTAATTGCGATGAATTTGAATTGATAGTTTTAAGAATGAAACAGGAGGATGAGCTCTCATTTCACTGAAACGAGACTATACACATACACAAACGCTTGGAAACGTTCTAAAAACACGCCACTAACAGGAAGTTCTTTAAGCATCTTGGTAACGAAATTGTGGGAAACTACACGTCCATCTGCGGCAACCATAACAAGTTCGTCACTGTTCCAAAACGTCAATGGCATTCCAAATCCTGCAATCGGCACGATGGTTAAGTGTTTCGTCCAAGAACCATCCAAATCATTCATTTCCCATATACCAATCGATTTACGAACCCCGCTTTCTACGTGAACAGAAAAAAGAGCGATAGATCCATTCCATACTGCAAGGCTTCCGTAACATTCTTTTGTATCCTGTAAACTTTCTGGCACGGGTATGTCAGAAAATAATTCGTCATCCATGTTGAATGAAAGGATGACCTTCTTGTTTTCGTCTAGGGTTTGCTTGTCCAGCTCTATGGCAAACCAATAGTAAAAACCCTTGAAGTACATTTGAGAAGAAGGACACCAAACCACACTACTAGGTATATCAACTTTGATCTCTCTCCAAGAGTTAGAACTCATAGTGTATACCTCTGCCGTGTGAGGGTGAAACAAAATCCAAAAACCCTCGAAATGCATTACGATTCTAACGACTTTGTAATCCTTCGCTTTGCGATCGTAGCCAAATCCCACGGCGATTCCTGTGGACTGTAATATGTTTATTTCTTTCGGGGGAGGTAGACGAAGGCACGACTTGGGAAGAAGCTTCGATTCCTTTAGAGCCGGGTTGCATAGAAAAACTTTCTCGGAGTAATCAGTTAAGCAGATAATTCCGTGACAGTGGCCTGCAATGTCTAGATACTCATGCCTTAGCCCTAGAGAAATTGGAACATTGAGGTTGAGATCTTGAAGGTAATAGACATCACTGTTGTTGACGTTGCAAAGATCTATAAGTGACAGCAAAATTTTCTTCGAGCCATTGTCTGCATCGTTGAGGACGTAACGCTTGAAAAGGATGCATGTGGAGGATTGGAAACTGTTGTCGATGGATTTGGAGAGGTGCACGTCCACAAAGCTAGGGTTGTTGATGAACTTGTACCACGACTTGCGGACGCATCTGAATCGCATCAGAGATTTCGGAGGGAGCCATGACAAGATCTGCAGCACCATTGCTTCCGGCATTTCGCAAAACCCGGCCATTTTCTGCTTCTCTCCTCTCTTTTCATTCATCACAAGCATTATAATTACTTATTACGAACAAAATGGATCATAACAACATGATAATAAAACAACAGACGAATATCTAAAAACCCAAAAAAAGCGATTACCTTGTTTGTTTCGTGTAGATTCCAGATTGCCGTCTCAGACTCTTTCGATGCTGCGAAATGAAGGCGATTGCTTGTAGTGAGGAAGTCAGCTGGTTTGTTGCAAGAAATGAAATTTTGCGGAAGAAAAAAAGCTAAATTTAGTAATTAGTGGTTTAAAATACCCACTTAGTGAGAGAGAGAGGGGGCAAGCGGCTCTTAACTACAATGATGGAAATGTGTTGAGCTCTTGCATGATGATGTGAATTCAAATCCAGTAGGTGACTGATCTAACAAAATCTATCGTTTGACAAAAAAAAAAAAAATTGTTTCAGGTTGAACCTAAAGAAAGAACCATATGCTTCTCTAATTATTATTTTTGAGAAGATTTTATATGAAATTTCCGACCTTACTCAAAATCTCCAAAAAAACAATTAAATAATAATTATCCAATCCAAATGAAACAAACTGATAAAAACGAGTTTTATTAGAATTTGTGTCGAAAAGATGAAAATCAGAAAACGGAGGTCAAGTAAAATTATCATAGAATCTTCCGTCTATACATTAAAATAAAAGGAAAAATCTCAACCAAAATTTCAGTTCATATATGATGAACACCAAAATTTTAATTTACATAAGCCTCTGCTATATTTATGTTAGATCTAATTCCATTGTGGTAATACATTGGCCTCCAAGTATCGTCTCCACGCCTTCAAGGGGGCAACCCCTCTACCGCTCGGAGAGGGTTCTTCGGCTCTACGGTTCATAAATATGCCTCTGGCTGCGAAACCCATAAACTCACTCTGGTCCATGAAACAACGCATCCGTGATGCAATGCCACCTTCACGAGAGAAACCCACTCTGTAACTCCAATCAGCAGACTGGGGTTCTTCTGTATAGGGAGGAGCAGCTAGTTGGATCTCAGTTTCTTGCACCGCTGAACCATCATCTTCGGAATATGTAAGGTTCCCCATTCCGAATGATTCCCAATCAACCTGCTGCAGAATCACTGTAGCTCGGTCTGTGTCCTGCACAGGAAGATTTTGTGGCTGAGTCACTTGAGCCAACTTGTCGACCTGAACTTTCAGTTCGCGTAGTCTATGACCAATCCTTGAAGATACTGCATCGTACAACTTTCCTCTTGATACATGCTTAGCTCCTTCAGAATTCAACAAATCATCAAAGTAGATTGGATCGCCAATAACTACCGTCACCTACATTTTCCAAAAACAGTAAGCCGGACAATACATATTATAAAAGAACAAAACATTGCATAAAGTGTGAAAGGCGTCACGGACTGTAATGATAAATACAACAATCAAATCCTACAGCAGATAAAACTGGGTGAGAAGGTCTATCTGCTCACTCATATGGTTGCTACAGCATCAAGAGTATCTAACTGGAAGGATTACACCCTATTGAAAGGACACTGAGCTGCTCAAAACTGAACATGTATTGACAATAACAAGTATTGGACTTACTGTATTACCAATCCTTGGGATGCTAGCACCGATAGGCATGATGTCCTGCATCCCACTATGCACAAATGGAACAACCATGGGAATATTGTCAGCGTCAAGGACCAACCTGCCAAGTAAGAATATGCAATAGTTACCAAAAAGTGTTTCAATGAAAAGGACACTACTCTCTTTACTGAAAAAGCTTACAGACAAAAGCATGGGAGCACTCCCCCCTCCTCCTCTTCCTTCTCATCCTACTCCTCTCCACAACCAAATATAAATCATCTAGCAAAAATATATCTTTCAAGAAAACGGGGATCAGACCCGCACCTCCCAACACCTCTCTTGGAAGACCCAATGGTTTTTCCACCATCTCGAGAACGACTACCTTCTGGGAAGATGTGAACCCAACCACCTTGATTCAACTTTGAAATAGCCAAGTCCATTCCCTGAATCAATAAAGAATAAAGATGAGAATGTGGCATGGTTATCACACACTGTCATAGCTTTCAGCCCTTCTGTAGTCCCAAGGTAGATACGAAATGTTCAAAACAAGTAAGGATAGAGCATCTTATCTTTTAATTTATCATATTATGACAAGAAAAAGACCCATTTCTATAAACAGGTGAAAAAAAAGAATAAAACATCAAAACACTACTTACATGCTGCAGACGTTTGGTTTTATTTGCAATTATATGAGTCACGACAGCACTCCTAACAAACTACCAACACTTTCGACAAACTTAGTGACATATTTAAAAGATTACCTTTTGATAAATCCCATCACCACGAGAAACTGGCAGCACTTTGACAGATCGGAAAAATGCTGAAGTTACAGGATTTGAAAAACAACGATCAGACGCGCAAAGTGTCCACCTCAAGTTCTGAACATCCAGAAGAACATGTCGAGGAAGTAATGTGGAGAGGACAAGCGGGTCATCCATAGAAGCAACATGATTGCTCACCTGAAATGAGAACAGATAAAAAAGTAGCCATAATTACCAACAGGAAATCAGAAATAGTGAAGGAGCAAATGGTAGTGATGCCAATAGATTCATATGCATTAAGTTTTAGACACGTAAAATAGGATGACGGGGCTATACCGTTATAAGAGGCTTTCCCTTGGGTCTGCGTAGCACGGCATCATGTAATTTTTCTACACCATACACCTACGACACCCGAAAACCCACATTATTCTTGCAGCCCTCAAAATACTAATCAAAAAACATCTTCGGGTTATTATCAATTCAACACAATCTCACCTACCTGAACCTGATTCAATCCATTCATAAACACATGACAAACATTGCCAATGACCGGAACAGCCACAGCTTGAAGCATGCGTAGAATGATTGATTCTTCTTCAGCATTGAATTCCTTACCCACTGCAGGCACCAAAAAAAAAACAAAAATCCCCCTTTTACTACAGTCCTCTCCGAAAACCCGCCACAAATTTTCACACGGGTAGATTACAAAAGCACAAACTAATAAACTACCCCTAAAAGCATTTGCAAATTCTTCAAGCTCAAAGATTTTCAGTTTACTAATGAAAAAAAAAATAGAAAAGTAGTAAAATTTCGTAACGAAATGCAAGCCAATACTGATACAAGCTCGAAATTGCCCACAATCTACAACTTTAAATTTCTCTAATTTGAAACGTAACTAATCTTGCCACTTATGTTAGCTAATTAACATTTTTTAACAGTAAGACACAACGTTTTAATAAATATAATTTAGAAACTGAAATTCCTTCACAGAAACGTATCAATCAAAATTTCAATCAATCGAAAACGAAAAAAAAGAGAAAAAAAGTTGATTAATTTAAGGAGAGGAGAGGAGGAAAGGACCTCGTTTGAGATAGAAGGTGGTGGAAGAAGGGAGGGAGTCACGGCGGAAGTCGCGAAAGCGCTGGAGCCAGCGCTGGAACGTGGAGGAGAAGTAACCATCGTTGGAAAAAATGGGGTGGTGACGGAGGCGGCGATCCACCTCCACCCTGAACCGCTGCCTGAGCCGGAGCTGTACCGATAATGCCTTGCTCTTCCATAGATCGCCACGCTCAACCCTCGCAGCAGCCATTACAATCCACACACGCACGCAGAATGAATTGCAGAGATTGAATTAGAAATCGAAGAGAAAGTGAGAGAGAAACGGAGGAGAGAGAGTAAAGAGAGTTAGGAAAGTAGCATGCGGCAAAGCTTGTTTTGTGTTTGGATTGTACGATGTGTTCGGGTGCGCAGTACGCACCTAAACTATCCGGAGAGGATCCTCCGTTCCATCAAATTCACCAAATCAATCAATCTAGATCCTTGCAATTTTATCCAATAATTACAAATAGGAGACATCTTTAAAAATTATAATAATTTTAATTAGATCAAATTTATAATGCCCTGATTAGGTGATTTGGTGGAAAAGATCCGAAGAGGATCGCTTTCCAAACTATCCATTATCCCAAAAATTTCTCCCCAAGTCTAAATAAAATAGCCTTTAAAAAAAAAAAACTTATCAAGAGAGGGATTGTCTTGGTGAATAAAATATTTATTTTTAATTTAATGTGTTTTGGATTCAAACTAAGATTGCTCGTAAATGAACGATATGTGCTCTAAGCAAACGTATTAAGCCAGTTAATCGCGGTGTACCCCTATACTCAATTTGGAATTATTGTTTGTATAGATTAGAGTAATTTAAAATAACAATTTGTTAACCCTTACATAAACTCACTCACTCCAATTTTGTAATTTTGAAACAACAATTATCATTGAATTTTTTTATTGGTGTATAATTTTCTAATCAATCAAATAATATGAAAAGATTTGAACTCAGAATCGTTTAATCAAATTGAGATTGTGTTGCTAAATCGACTAGTCCATGAGCGAATGCTTACAGAATCAATTTGAGATTGTGTCGCTAGATCAACTAGTACATGAGCGAAAGAGTCATAGCCAAAACATGGGGCAAACTCACAAACGGCTTTCCGCCTAGTGCTTGGGGGTGTCCAGCATCAAACAAACCTAAGACTCGGCCCATTTCAGGCCCAAGTATATTGCCCCTCAGTTCGTTCGACGTTATATAAATCTGAATCCTTGTATGCAGAACATTGTGTAAAACAAACCGTAAGAAGATGTGAGAACAACATCGTACGCTCATTAGTCATGACACAAAAATGTCGAGCAAACATCAGCCGCTCAGCGTAGAAACCGAATTCCGATGTCTTTACAGCCTACGACTCGTTAAGCAAATTCCAAAAGAGAAAAGAGGCACAGAAAGAAGGTGGGGCATTTTTAATGCCGTCACATTCACAATTCCATCCATCTAAGGCTATTTTTTGTCAAACTCCCATACAACGCCTCCATCCTCTGCAACACCGAAGCAGGAACATATTAGCATAAGCTCTATAAACGAAATGAAATGATTAAAAACCAAAGTACGGAACTTAAAACAATCAGAAATGTATAAGCCAGTTCAGAACAACCAAGATTAGCCAAAACTGATAGCACAGATCAAAAGAGATCGAACGTGTTCGTATATACAACAAAAAATGCTTGTACATGTCTTGGTAATGTATTACAACAAACAATGCCGTGAATGTCAGCAGTCTGATCACATATTTCTTACTTTAACATCGTTCGTGATTTCCTAATGTTCAGATGTCCAATACAAACCAAGAACCCGTAAGTGCATAATTCCGCATCATGCAAAAGGCTCAAAGATACAGTGTCTAATGTTAGCATTGCAGATAACCAAAAGCATTACTAAACTTGCAAAGGTGGAAATTATAGTTGTCTTGACCAGACCAGAACTTGTGATCACTATGCAGAACACGAGGCGTTCAATCCTACACTTGTTTTCGGCCCTAGAGGTCGAACCCCTGCCTTAAGGAAAGAAAACCAACATCGGAATTACAGGGCATACCTCTAACTTTCTTGTTTATCCAGACCTCCAACAGCATGCCAGCACCAATTCCACCAGCAATGCACGCTCCAAAAAACGCAATGTTATAGGGTAGGGATCTTCGAGGAAGAAAATAGCAATCCGGAATCTGCCTGATCTTCCTGGGAAGCCGCTTCTTAATCCCCGGTTTAACACCGGGGTCCTTCTGCATGTCATTGCCAACAGCTTTCCAATCCACCCCTTTGAACGGGTCCCTTGGCTCCTCGGAGGCCATGACTGTAAACCAGTTCACTTTAGAGCTTGCACAACCTTGAATTTGAACGTCGTACGCCAACCAAAGAAAACACTGGTAAATAGAAATCCACTAGAAAATTAACCACAAAATATGGTGGTAATGGAAAAGTTTAAAACTTAATCAAGTGCATCAATGCCTAATCCCACTTATCATCGGCCACACCATAAACAAAACATTTCTTCAATCCATAATTTCATCCAATGCTTTCTAAAAGTTATGCAGAAAAACTTAAATTTGGAAATTTCACCAAAAAAGAAATTATTGGGGCAAATAAATAGACAATTATCCCAAAATCAAGCCCTAGAACACCAAATTTTGCATCACAATTAAACAAATCGGAAAAATACAAAAAGAGCACCCGAGTAAGAAAAAACGAAAATTTCCCAAATCAAAGTCGTGGGTCTATGCAATTCAAGAACACAGCAATAAAAAAATGTCACTCAGCTAATTTAAAGTGCAAGTTTGTGTTTGGTTGCTGAGAAAATTGAGAGAGAAGAGAAAGTTAACTAATTACCTCGAAAATTAAATCTTGCCGACGAAACACTAAACGGATTTCGATCAGGTGACTGGAGGTTTTTTATGTGTTTGGTGGCTAGGAAAGTGCAAAAATGGGCGAGAAAAATGGTGGACTGGTGAATCCGAATAATCCCCTCTGGGTTTTTTCTCCTCTTTTATGCCGGGGTTTAGGCTGGGAGTCCGGATAGAACCCGGACCCGACCCGTGTTGTTGGATTACTTGACTTTCCGGCGTTGAAATGTAATTTTCAATTTGAATTACACCGCACTTGGGTGTGTTTGAGAAACGATAACATCTTATATGAAACGAGTTCATTGTCACGTGGCATCTCAATTCAATAATAAAATTTAAGTGTTGAGAAACTTGCATATATCATTGTTTTATTTGAATAAAACGCAGTGAACTCATTTCATGTAAGTTTTTCTCTTGTGAAAGAGGCTGAAATCACTTCTAAAGCTTTAAACCAAAAATTAAAAGTTTTTTTCATGAAAATAAAACACTTTACTTTGCCATCGAAGAGTGATTGTTGCATGACTTCTAAATTTTATGGAACTTGCACTTTTGAAGTAAAGCATTTGCTTTAAGCAGACACCGAGGGCGAGGCAAGAGTCGAACTCTCGTTACTTGCACAACGGTAAAATGCTGCACTTTTAAGGGATTTCTTACTACACAAGCAAGTAAACCAAAAGCGTTCAAACCAGGGTACCATTGAAATGACTGCTTGAAAATAGTACTACTCCAACAGTGGCAAATTCGGGTTGCATGCCTTGCAATCTGCCACCGGAATAAATCAAAGCAATCTCTTGCGTAAACTCGGATCTTACTCTCTGAAATTATACCAAAACAATTTCTTGCATGCCTCGCTAGCGCTATCCCGATGAAAAGAAGACGAAGACGACCAAGGAAAACTTATAGTATAATGCTGTACAGAACAAAGCAAAGTGAGACATGGTTACTTGGCACTGTAGAACAGACGAGGTGACCAAAGGAAAGCATGTGGTAAGATTAAGAACCTTGAAAAGAGCATCGGCAAATGAAAATCTGGAACGTTGATTCCGCATTCGACACATCCAAGTAGTTGACATCAACTGCAACTTCCCCAAGATCATCTGACGACGAATGAAAGATTGTTTTTCGTAATCTTCCGGAACTTGGCATTTCATAAGTTAAATCTTCGCACCTTCGCATGTAGCCCTTGCGTATTTACATATTCGGTTATGAGATATCGATATATGATTCCGTCTGTAAGGGCATCCAGCGCTACAAGAACACCTGAAAATCAACAAGCGGCATTACATAACTGTATGATAACCACTGAAGCTAATTTCTTTAAACTGGTTAGGTGAAGTTACCTGGTGCTGCCCAAGCTTTAGTTGAATTGCTTGGAAATGGAGCCAGCCAGACGATGTATGGCGAGTTCATTGAATCGTCATAAGTCACATTTGACCCTAAAAGAGGTAATATTACCCGCATAACCGCTTATCCATTGGGTAAGCCTAAACGGTTATACTCATACCCATAATCGTTTATAAACGATTAACCATACTCATATCTGCATACCCATTTAACCATAACTGTGTATTCGTTTAACTGTAATTGTATACCCGTTTATTCGTTCACCCCTTTTCAAGCCGTTTACCCTGTTTAGTTGTTAAAGTTGTGTAGTTTACTTAAACTTGCCATAAAGCTATGCCATTTTCCTTCTGCTACCTCCATTTCTTCCTCCCTTAAAAGCTCTCTCACTTTTGTATTTCTCTCTATCTCAACCGACCACTTCGGTTTCTGCTGATTCCGTCACTTTCCCGAGAAAAACCGGGAAAGGAAAATCCGTTTCAGAATGCTGCCGAGGCTGAACGGTTGTGTTTTGATGGACGACAGGGAGGACATTGACTCTTGTTTCCTGGACTACAACCTCCGCCGCGGCTGCCCCCAACATCACCGAGAACAAAACGAGATGGGTTTCTCTGTCCACCTTCAAATCTAGGGAATTTTAACGAAAAGCCCGCAATACTCTTTACTTTAACGAAAAATCATATTTTTACACCAAAAAGTCAAACCTGATACTATTCACTTTACCATTTATTTTGTCATTATCGTTAAAACTTAAAGTTTTTAAGTCATTTTCATTAATTTTCCTTCAAATCTATGTTGGAGGTTGAAGATGACTGGTACATGGCGGCAAATAATAGCATCCAGGGACATTCGGATGTAAAAAACAACAGTTTAAAATAAACGGTAAATGGGTAACCGTTTATAACCGCAGGTAATATCCATGACTACCCATTTAAATTTCATGGGTAAATAGCTCATAACCGTAACCATGAGTTTTAAATGGGTGGATAACCGTGGTTATTCGTGCTTATGGTTACTTTGCTCATCCCTAGTGGCTAGTGTCAGTTGTAGTGGTAGATTTTGTTAGTTCCTTCTATTTTCAATGTATTTGAGTATCATAATACATGATTGACCTATTTATAATCAACATAATTATTGTTGGTGTATTGTTAACATTTCGATTCCACGAGTGCCCACCCTTATCAACACGATTTCTTTGGTACTTCAAAGTGTATTGTAGTCCATACAAATTTCTCCGGCACTATAAATTTTTTTGCTACATTACAAATAAGATGTTGGGCACTAACATGCAGGATGGGGACTGGTCTTGGTCTTCAATAATTTGAGAGCTCCACACAAGCTTCAACGGTTAGAATAAGTCTATGGACATACACGAATCACCTTAAAGTAATCTCCTTAGGCAGGGTGTTTATAAAATTGTTTTACGACAGGGTTAGAAGTGCTCTTCTGACAACCAAAAAGGAGTCTTGTTCGCTATTATAGATCATTGCTCTCTAAAAAATTTTGTAAGTGAAGCAAAGTTCATAAAGAGAGGGAAAAAACACAATGGAGATCACACGGCATGATGAAGATGAAGTGTACAAGGCATCACGGACTGGGGGTGTAGAATACTTAAACATTTTGATTGAAAATGACCCAGAAATTCTAAGGAGAATATCTCTGCAGGCCGGCGAAACCGGAACGCCCTTGCACGTTTCAGCTTTGCTCGGCCACGCTGAATTTACCAAAGCCCTTTGCACTCACAATCCCAAACTTGCAGAGCGGGTGGATGCCGACAGACGCACGCCCCTGCACTTGGCTTCTGCCGAGGGCCACAAGGACACGGTCGAAGCTTTGTTATCTGTGTATGCTGATGCGTGCTTGCATTTTGATGAAAATGGAAGAATCCCACTTCACTATGCAGCCATGAGAGGAGAAGTTGAGGTGCTCCAGAAGTTGATTGATAAGAATCCTGAGTCCATTTATGTCAAAGTTGAAAACGGATCGAAAGAAACAGTTTTGCACTTGTGTATTAAACACAACCAGTTAGAGTGCTTGAAAGTGTTGATTACAAGAGACGACCACAATGGTGAGTTCCTCAACTCAAGAGCCGGCTGTGATGGTGGTGTGACCATCCTGCACTTAGCATTGATGCTAAGGCAAATTAAGGTACGTATATATATTTCCATTTTCTATACTGGATATTCTTAGGTTTTTACCATATTAATTAATATATGTTCACGTGTAAATTTTCTTTTGTTTGTTCCCCTTTATATATAGTTTATGGGGATAAAGAAATTTTTTCGTCTTAATTTAATATCTAAAATCATAATTATGTGACACTTTTATATGTTTATTAAGGTTGCGGTAGAATCTCCGTTAATGACATAGCACCTACGAGTGGCACATGTCAAAAATAATTAAAAAAAACTAAAATATTAAAAAAATTAAAAACTAAGTTATCTGATCAACATTGAGGAGGAATTGCAGAGCAAATTTGAGCCTCTATCTCCCTCCCTTCGACTGCACATGGGGCGGCGGTGGAATGAATCCACTCCCTTTTTGTGCTGCATATGGGTTCACTTCCCTGTCCATCTGCGTCTCAAAAAATTGCAAGAAGTATTAGCAGTAGAATCGTTACCGGTCATCGATTCGGCGTCTTCCGCCGTCACCAACTCCGAATCCGAAGACAACCCATCGTCGCCATGGCCTAATCCAAAAACCTCAGTTGGCTGGCCGGCCGGCGGAAAGCTTAGTCTCGAATGGGTTAGGAACCTCATGTTTGTTTTTTATGGGCATCTCGAAATCTGGACCCGACCGAAATACCAGACGTGTTTCCCGTAGAGGTTTCGATAGCTTGGTCCTCTGCACATCCAAGATCCTCCACAAAGAAGCCAACGTCGATCAGTTAGGCCTGTAATCTGCCGTGGTGGTCGTTGGAGACCTTCATGGTCAGCTGCACGACCTCCTTTTTATTTTAAATGATCTTTACCCTTTTAGGTTTTTAGGTTTGTAGGTTTTCAGTTTTATATTTTTTATTATTTTATTATTTATTATTTTTAAAATTTTTAATTTCCATGTGGGCTTATATTGACACGTGTCGCTTATTCATTGTCAACATGGGCCACATGTCGTTCTAATGAAAAACTTAACGTATCTCTGAAAGAGTCCCATAATTATAACTTTAATTAAGTACCAAACTAGGAAAAAAAATTTGATGTATAAAATGTTAAAAAGCAAGAAAATGTTGAATTGGTGACCAAGTGGTCAAAAAAATTTCGGTGCATGTAAGAAAAAAATGAAAGACATAATGATATGAGAACATCATTATAAGGAGACAAATGATTATGTTTCCTTTTACTTTGGCTTTTTTCAAAGGTAGAAAATTCAGCTTTTGTCCCCTCACTTGTTGCCTTTGAAAATGAGAGAAATGGAACGAGAGTTGAAAAAGGTGCAAAAAATAGAAAGCATTTCTGATTGTAGTTGTAGAGTGCACCAGAAAAACAGAGAAGAAAAAATAGAAGTGCTATTGCCCCTCTTTGAAGAGAAGAAGAAAGTGCTCATCTCTTTGGTTAGTAATCATCTATCAAGGTAGTTGTTGTTGTAATAGCTTTAAGCTTTGTATAGAGAAGAAATTAATCACTATATTTCTTTCTATATTTGTTTCTTTGGTGTGTGAGAGCTATTGGTTGTATTGGGGTTTTTGGGTTGTGAGCTTGCCAATACTTTGTAAACTCCTATTTGGTTGATAATGGATTATTGGGTGAGCTCCTACTGCTCCGAGGACGTACTCCAGTTATACTGACTGTTGAGGAACCTCGTTAAAATCTTGGTGTTCTTTTATATTTTGTTCTTGCATTTCATTTGATATATTTTCTGTGGGTTAGCTTGAGTTGGTTCCAACGAGTTTGGTGCTATCCTAGCACAACAGAAAATACAGAATAGTAAATTGAGATTAACCCAAATTTATGTGTGCGTTTCTGTTGTTTGTTCCCCTAGGAGCATAATTTCCACCAAATTAATAAACTGTATGTATTATTTACAGACTATACGTTACCTGCTTTCCGTTGATGCTATAAGAGCAGAAGCAATTGGAATGAATGGGATGTCTCTGACCATGTTAGATATCTTAGAGTACAGCAGCATTGCAAGAGAGGACTTTAGCAGAAGCTTAGAAATTCAACAGATTCTGATAGACGCCGGATTAATCAGAAGAGAAAATGATGAAAATGATAAGCCTAACTCAGATGTTGACGCTGCTGCTGTTGTATCACCAAATCCAAGAAGGGTAAAGAAGAAAGAGAAGCTTCACAAACAAGGAGCATCATCGGAAAAGGGATCAAAGCCAGCAAGGCGGTGGGGGATAAAATTGATGAAATGGTTGAGATATCCGAGTGATTGGTTGGTCGAGACACGTGGCATGCTGATGGTTGTGGCTACGATGATCTCGACCATGACTTTTCAAGCCGTAGTTAACCCACCTGGTGGTGTTTGGCAAAATGATGTTACCAACTCTACCGAAGCTGGTTGCACTGCAGAGAATATATGTACTGCTGGAACTGCAGTGTTAGGCTACGTTTGGGAAGACGACTTCGTCACTTTCATAAAATACAATACCACCTCGTTCCTTGCTTCTTTGTGTGTCACACTTTTGCTCATTAGTGGATTTCCTCTCCACAATCGGTTGTGCATGTGGCTCTTATCGATGTCCATGTGCGTCACCCTTACATTCCTGGCACTCACCTACCTACAAGTGCTGCTCTTGATCATCCCTGTTAACGGCATTTTCGATTCATATAGAATCATTTGCAAGAATTGCTTTTATACTTGGGTTGCGTTGCTGGTCATAGTCGGTGTACTTCACACTATTCGGTTTCTTATTTGGGTGGTGAAGAGGTTGCGGCCTCAATACTTCAGGACAAAATCAGTTCTCAAGAACATGATCGCCACTGGCTCCTTTTCATGTAACGATCCAATGCGTTTTCAAGAGATTGATTTACAACCAGTGTGATTACTCCACCGTGGTGTGTGTGCTTGAGAGAGTAATTAACTAGGCGAGACACCCTGTATGCATGTAGCAATTAGGGCTGGGGTAATGAACTAGGTCAATGACGCTTTCTGATCTCTACTGGGTTGGTAATTCAAGAGTGTCGCTTAGTTATGGTAAATAATCCATCTGCTATGTAAATTAGAAGTGTTTGTTGTCTTTGATGCAGGATGGTAGCTACTTAGAGAAGGAATCTTGTCTAAGGAAATAATATCTCTTAAGGTTTAGTAATTAATATTGTAATTTGATTTTGATTGTATTTCTGATTTGTAGAGATTTTTAATTGTCTAGTACACACGCTTGTATATATATTGTGCTATGAATGGAATTATTATTTCTAAATGGTATTAACCTAAATTTTTTTCTCTCTCCTTCTCCCATGGCAACGGCTTCCTCTCTCTCTTCCGCTCCATCTCTTCCTTCCGGACCTAATGTGGCTCACTTTTTCAAGCTTACAGAGATCAATTTTCTCAATTGGACGTGTCAGATGCGTCCCTTTTTTTGTTGATCATGATCTTTTTTCTCATGTTAATGGCTCATCCTCTGCGCCTGACCCCAAACTTCCTGCTGATACAGTATGAGAGAGGGACAAGCAGTCACTAACCAACTTTAAAACATCCCATAATTTCGCACTCATCAAGATCTTATTATTTTTCACTTTCTTGATGTTTTGCTTTTGGCTTCCGAAGATCACATGGGAAAGTGATGGTCCCCTCTATTTGTACATTCCTCTCTGCAATTATGACGGTTGGAGACCTGGTGCCATCACACTCTTCCGAGGGTGAGAGACTCGCATGAAATGAGTATCAATGTCTCAAATTCATCATGGAATAGTTCTTCATTACTAATCTAAACGATTTAGTTTAAAGAATCCCACAAGGCAATAAAGAATCCCACAAGGCAATGTAGCAATACATTGAAATTATGTTCTTTGGGTCACTTGATAACCAAGAAATTATGGTCATCCACCCTTAAATTTGATATTAAGAGTTGATATTAAAACATTAAACGTACGCTCATTTATTATCCACCATGAATAACCCAAAGGTAAGTAACCATACATTCTTTTTAGTCACTTGATGACTTATTGAACATTTCTACAATGAGTGATGAAGTCTACAATACATGTAAATCTACCTCTACTCGAAAACTAAGTTATATATGTTCTACAAAATATAATCTTCTTAGTATTTTTCTTCTTAATTACATCTAGAAGAATCTTCACGCTATGGAGTTAGGTAGAGGGCAACCAAAATGGAACCCACCAACTTGTTTTTATTTGATGACTTTTATCTACTAAAAAGGCCACATTCAACTGCAAATCTCATGACTCGCTTAATATGTAAAGTGGCCTTCATGAACTCATAAATCATCACAAACCTTGAGAGAAAATGAACTTCATGATTGGCAATTGATGAATATATAGTAGAAAACATCTTCAACTTTCCTGTTGGAGCGAGATTTCCTACGAGAAGAAATACCTCCACAGATTTGTTGACCGCAATCCTCACGTTCACCGAATCCTTCCTTGAGGTGTCCCAAAATAATCTTCCTCCGTAGCTTGCCCAGGCGGAGTACCTGCAAAAGATACCCCGACGCTCAAGTCAGTTAATTGGTTTTCTATTCTCTGGATTCTCTCGGGTTCTCTTGCGTACCTGGTTCTTTGGCTCCTGTCCCTATTTATAGGATTGCATACTTGAGGATCAAGTGCCACAATCAATCCTCCTCCCACTTCCTTGGTGGTCATTCGTCCTATAACTGTATGTTTTGGGAACAAACAACACGACCCGCCTTCCTCTCCCACTTCTCCTCCGTAGTGGGGTAGTTATCTAGGCATGTTCCCTAACGTATATTCCTTGTGGGCTTTTTGTCTTGCACAACACTTTGGACGATCGGTATGGGCCCATGAGTCGAAACCGGATTTTATCCTCCCACATTTCCTCAAATAAAAGATTGTTAAAGCGAAAAAAATAAGACAAAATAAATGGTGTCAAATTAGGGTCTTCGATTGAACATTGTTTGTGAGACATATAGGAAGCATATTAAAGTGTTTTTGCAAAGGGATTAAAGGAGGTGAGAAGAGATAAGTGTGCATGAACAAAGAGGTAAAGAATGACTAGTACAACTTCAACTGCCAGGCTCAAAGGTTTCTTTGAGTAGTCTTAGAGCAACTTCACCGTTGCTTATTGCTTTGATAATAGGCAACTCAATTCACTTTCTTCCCTCCCCAAAACACTCCATCCCATTTGGGCAATTGGGCTCAAGGCAAGCCCAATTGAGAAGTAAGACAATAATTGCCTAGCCTAGCACCCTGCTTATATGACGCAAGGCTGGCGTCATCATGACGTCAACCACAATTTAAATTATTAAAAAATATTAAAAAATTATCGAAATTATTAAAAAACTAATTAAAAATTCCTACAAATATCTAATTGTTGTAAGCCTATTTGACTGAATTGTATTTAGGACATAAAGGGAGAGGGCCGACGGCAAGAGAGAGATGTAATTCTGAGGTGTGTGTGTTGTATCACCCTATTGTGCCTTTGTTTATACTATTAGGATATGTTAAATCCTTACCCTTATAGGATTACAACTCTAATAGGATATTAACTACTAAAGGGAATAATCAAGATATCCCTAGATATACTAGGATTTATACAATCACATTTATAATCTAATAGGACTGCAACACTTCCCCTTGACTATGTACATACTTAAACAAAACTTCGCATCAGGTATTCAGTAGATGAGCTAGAACAGTTGATGAAGTCCTCGGCACAACGAGTGAATGCGAGTCTCAAATTTAAAGGAAAGTATGCATTGATAGTAAAACTCACAAAAACCTCGCTATAGTAAAACCTAAGGTGGGTAAAAACTCATAGACTAAGGAGAAAAGTGAGAAGTATGCATAATGTCTAAAACAAACTTCAAATATGACAAAAGTAGTGAACTCAACGGAATATGATCATCCCATGATGGGTGCCTCATCAAAACCTCGTCAGGTAGCAAAAATCCAGTGAGAAAAATGCTCCTAATTGTAGAAAAAAAGTACATTAAGATCAAGTGAGTATGTGTCACAGCCCGTCCCAAATATATGATTATCGTTGATGTGAAAAGACTAATTTACCCTTGGACGTTAAAATGTGTGGTGCATGATTTGTTTTGAAAATGATTAATTAAGCTTTTCCTAGGTTTTTGGAACCACTTAGGAACTAAGAAGCTTTGGTTCTGATTGGGTTGTTGACTAGTTTTGGACCACACACATCACTCATCCCTTCTCTCTCTCTCTCACTCCCGTACTCTCTCTCTCTCTCACTCCCGTACTCTCTCTCTCTCTCGGTTTTCACTTTCTCTCTTCCCTCTTTCGTACGGACAAGCTTCAACTCACCCCAAACCTTGCAGATTGAGGGTGTAATTGTCACCATTGTGTTCCTCGTGGTACTACGAATCGTTTGGTACCTGTTTCAGGTAAGGAACCATTTGAAAACTCGTGAACCCGTAACCCAATTTTCATGCATTATTCATACTCATGTAAAACCTTGTGTTTTAGGGACATCTAAGCTCATAGGAAGCTTAATGATGTCCTCACGAGTCTTGGGGTAGTTCTTCGAGGAATTTGGACGTCGGGATCGTGAAAAATGAAGAGTTGCAGTTTTGGTCGGAATTTCGAAGCTTCCCAGACGTGATTTCGTGAGATTTGAAGCTTCAAATAGGTATAACGCCATTCTTCTCACTCTAAGCTTTCATATGGTTCAAATTTCATGAAAAATGGTTGAAAAACGAGTGAGAATAGTGAGTTTAAAGTTTTACCAAGTTTTCCGGCGATCGGCAACTCGCCGGAGACGAAGACAGAATATTCCGTCAGTTTTGATGGAATATTCTGACACCATTAGTTAGTTTGGACGGTTACCGTTGGACTTAATGGAATATTCCAGGGAATATTTCTAACGGCAGTTAGGGAATCCGTCAGGATTCCCTGCGCGTGGCCGCGTGTTTTGCCATGCCCTTGTCGGCGCGTAGGAGCTCAAAAAATTTATCTAAAAATTTGGGGATGATCATGAGGTTGTGTAGGTTACTGTGGTATATTCATATACCCATTTTGAGCTATGTATGAGAAGTTATTAGCTAGTTTTGTCTATGTGCTTTAAAATAACGTTTTTATAGTTAATTCGCATATAGGTGAGACTTATCCTGAGGATGAGCATATCCACGGGCGACTCGGGGGTTACGACCCGTCGACATACCAGTGAGTGGGCTTTTGTTTTCAGTATAAATTTATATACTTGATATATTTCCCAGAAATGCATTATTTTTAAGAAAGTATGCTTTGAAATAATGTGCCAAATGCTTTTATATTCTGAATACGCAATTCATGGTTACATATATATATATATATAAATGTGGTGCTGTGGAGGCACATGTAAGTTCAGGTAAGTTATGTTTGGCTATGTGAATCATCGATGATGTGGTATGTGATGGATGGATGTTGAGCTCATAAAACTGCACCTAGGGTGATTGTGATTTAGCCAGAGATATGAAGTACAAGCCTGTTTATTTATGTCACCTCCCGCACTTTATACTCATATTGGATCCAACTTAAGTGCACAGTCTTGTCGTACAGACTTTAATTATGGTTCCGACTAGTAGATGACTAGGGATTTATCGCCCGGCTATTATGATAGAGTAAAATTGAGCATAACTATATTACACTCAATCTTGTCGTACAGACCTTTTTAGTGGTTCCGACTTATGTGTAGTATATTGTCGTATAGGTCATTGTAGTGACTCCAGTTAGATGGACTTAGAGCTATGAATTCAGCCGTACAGACTATCACAGGGGTTCCGGCTAACATATCATATTCCTATAAATTTATTCTTACCTGAATTGCTTACTCTGGTATATATTGGCATGACTTATATTTGAATATGATTATGTGAAGTATGAATTGAATTGATATGATTTCATATATATATATATATATATATATATATATATATATATATATATATATATATATATATATTATGTATATGCTCATATTCTGATTCTGGGAAAAATTATACATGTTTTACAGCGAGGGGTTAAATATGTTGATAATGAAAATGATTTTGTAAAACATTTGTTTTTGCCCACTCACGTTTTCTGTTTTGTGCCTTTCCAGGTTTTAAGTAAGCTTGTTGTTGGTGGCTTGAGGACGTCGGCATTTCTGACTTATCTAAATAATAATAGGACATTCCTGGTACTGTATAACTAATACTTGTCCTACTGGACTGTACTTAGACTTTATGCTCTGTTTAGTAGTGTTTACTG